ATGCCTGTAAAAAGACTGGTCACAGGACATGCCTACGTGTAGACTAGGGGCGGCACTTATCACAAGAACTTCCTCAAGATGTCAGTGTCCCAGGTACCCGGCTTGCAGGGGGACACTGGCCGAGGGAAAGCTGTCTCAGCCAATGAGCTAATGCCAGGTCCTGTAACAAAACCCTGTAACCTTTGGTCTTTGTAATCTTTCGTTTCAAATCAGCTTACGTGGACTTCTCCTTGCTTTAAAAGATTCCCCTCCCCACACACACACCAGGTCCCCCCACAATGCCTGAGGCCTGCCATAGTTTGCATACCCTGATTAGCGGTTCCTATTATCACTCCTGAATAAATAATTTATCCTGGAGAGCCTGTCCTGAGTTCTTTCTCATGCAGCTGTGTTTCACATGCAGCTGTGTCGTCAGTCCACACAATCTCAGCAAGTGCAGGGGTGAGTCACCAGGCTGTCAGGGCTGAGGGTGCAGGAGCCCACCCCTGCAGAGGCCCAACGTTCCTGACCCCTGGGTTCTTCTCAGCCTTCTGAGCCCTGATGTAGAGCTGGACGGGACACAAGGGGATTCCTGGCGCCCCAGAGTGGAGTCAGCCCTCATGTGTGGTCTCCTGTTCCCAGAGGGCCCCTGGGGAGCTCCAGCCCTGGACAACAGCTCTGAACACCTGGTCCCTGTGCCCGCCACCCATGTGGCTGATCAAACTGCACTTGCGTTTCCATAAGCACCTTGTTTATTGGAAATGTCCCATCCACAGGACACTCAAGATATCAGTGATCTTTTTTTAAAACTCAGTTGTCTCATTAGTGGTGGCTTGGGGTTAGGGATGGGAAAGGGGTGTCTTGAGGGAGGTCTTTGTGGGGACAAATGGTTGTGCATCTGGGTTGTAGTGGTGGGTGGGCTAATCTACAGGTGTGACGACTTGGAATGCTGTGCCAGTGTCACCTTCCTGGGGTTCACATGGCCCTATAATCATGTGATGAAGATGCATCTGATGGGGGAAGTGGATGTCGTGTAGTAGGGACCTCTGTGAGCTTTTCTGCAACTCTACCTGATGGCATAATTATTTGAATTGTTTTTTAAAATAAGTTGTTTCAAGAATTTCCCTAATAACTGTGCTTGTGTAGAAAGGAGGCTGCATAAGTTTTCTAGTTCTGGCCATAAAAGGCAGGTGTGCCCTGTCTCACACTGGGCCGACCCACTCCCGCCCTAGGACGTCTGCTTGTCTGTGCAGCAGTGATATTGCTTGCGAGGTTTGCAGCAAGGTGACTGGCAGTGCCTGGGTAGAGGCAGAAGCCCTGTGAGTTCTGGTTCTAAGAATAGCAAGGCGTGGACCTGTCCCTGCTGTGAGGATGCAGTGAGACGCAGCCCTTGTCCACTCTATGCCACTGGACAAATCAGCTGCACCTGAATCCACCCTGCCAGACAACATCCCTCCTCTGGGGAAACAATAGGGATGCGTGCAGGCACCCCATTTGCGCTGTGGGCTGCAGGGGTCGGGGCAGGTGAGAAGTCAATAGCAGGCCCCCCCCCTCTTTTTTTTTTTGAGACAGAGTCTCACTTTGTTGCCCAGGCTAGAGTGAGTCCCGAGGCGTCAGCCTAGCTCACAGCAACCTCACACTCCTGGGCTCAAGCAATCCTGCTGCCTCAGCCTCCCAAGTAGCTGGGACTACAGGCATGCACCACCATGCCTGGCTAATTTTTTCTATATATATTAGTTGGCCAATTAATTTCTTTCTATTTATGGTAGAGACGGGGTCTGGCTCTTGCTCAGGCTGGTTTCGAACTCCTGACCTTGAGCAATCCACCCGCCTCGGCCTCCCAGAGAGCTAGGATTACAGGCGTGAGCCACCGCGCTGGCCAGCAGCAGGCCCCTTTGCATAGCTCTCTTCACAGGAGTGGGGCGAGGTAGGTGCTGCTGTCCTTTCTCGAATGAGAACGCAGGTGCAAATCAACATAGGCACCGCTCCCTGGAGGAGCAGCGCCATGGGAACAGACCCAGGCCAGCGAGCTGGTTTGCCCCAGCAGTGCAGGGATGCGAGAAGGGACCAGGGCTCCAAATATGGAGGCTGCCTCCCCATCCTATGAGCTTGGGAGGAGCCTGAGCACCAAGATCTGTAAGAAACTTAGGTAGGTGGGGTGAGGGGTTGTGCTCCTGACTCAGTTAAGTCCCAGATTAAGCAGCAGCCATCACAGGAGGCCACCAGTATAACTCCCACTGGTTCTTGGTAGAAGCAGGTATCACTCTGTAGCCCACCGTGGGTGTGGCTGTGAGGCTGAGGCTTGGGGGAGAAACGGGAGGCAGGGAGTGCTAGCTTCCGTCTCAGTGTCCCAGCCAAGCTTCTCCCAGAGCCACTTCCATCGCAGACAGTTGGGGCCCTTCTATTGGGGGACCAGGCTGTGACACCCCTGCCTCGCCCCAGTTACTGGTTCAGCTGCCAGGGAAAGGGCGGCCCCTTTGAACATGCCCCTTGAGGGAATGGAACCTGTCCCTCTCGTTCCACTTCTTCCTCTGTAGTGCGCAGAAGGGCATCTTGGCCGTGGCTAGCACCTTCTCTCCCTTGGCGGAGAATACAGTAGATCTGCAGGCTGGCCAGGGCTGGCTTCCCGAGGGACATCCTGTCCTGCTCTCCCCAGCTGACACCACACCTCCATTGGGCCCCACGTGAAGCCTCCCTTCACCCCATCTCCAAGGTCCTGAGTCCCTCTGCCTGGTGGCTGGACCCCACAGCAGGCTGCAGTCACTTATGCCCAGGGGTGACAGGACCAGCCCCATCCTTGGGGAGTAACCCAGCATGTTTCTGTGTCCTGCAGGCTGGAAGTGCACAGCAGCCTGCTTTCGTGCCTGGAGCCCCAGGCCGGGCTGGCCGTGTGGGAGTGCGTCAGGACTCCGGCGGCTGAAGCACCCTGGCCTGGTCCTCGTCCAGGATGAGTGGGGACTGGAACTCTTTGCCTTGCAGGTACACTTCCAAACCCTGGAGACAGGCAGATCACAACAGCCAAGTGGCCACAGCCCCCAGGCAGGATCCTAGCTCTGCCAGGAGTCAGGGAGGCTTTGAGGGGCAAGGACCTGATGCCCACCCCAGGGCCACCTAAGACCCCACCAAGACCCCAGGCTAGCATGAGACCCTTCTGACAGGCTTAGGCCTGCAGGCCTCACCTAAACGAGGGGAGCAGGGGACAGGGCCAACCCCAGTCAGATGGCAGCAAAGGGCTACGTCTCTCTCTGAGCAAGGCTCCCACAAAAGCCTGACTGGCCCACCACTGTGCTCAGGCCTGGCTTGTCCCTCCCCCCCCTCACCCCAGGACCTGCAAAGGCCTCTGGACACCCCACCCCATACGCGCAAAGTTCTCTGAAACGTAAGGACCCATGTGCCCTGTTGACAAACTGAGGCAGAGCTGTGCCTTCTCCACCTCTCCCCAGACAGTGCTCCTTGGATCCACACAAGCCCGACTCCAGAAAAGCCCCAGAGGGGGGTGGGCGACTCTCACCTCTCCAGCGTAAGACACTAAGGGCGATATCTCACACACGGCCGGAGGGTCTCCGTGCAGGGGCGGGCTGAGGGAAGTCCAGTGTCAGTGTCTGGCTGCCAGGCGCCTGCCCCGGTCCTCCCCAGCACCACCCCAAACAGAAGGTGGCCCAGCAGGCTGAGCCCCCTGTAGCCCCTTCTCAGAGAGCTCCTCTTTCTCTGTTCACCCCAAACCCCGAGCAGACGTCTTCCTGTGACAGACCCTGATTTGGACTAGAAAGCGCCCGGACCCCCGGCATCCCGGGCAGGTGCCGGTGGTGCCTGCAGACATTCAGGGAGATGGAAACCAAACATCCTTTCCTTTCCCAGCCCTGAGAGCCAATATGCCCTGCTGTCTTCTGAAAGCCGTGCCTGGGGCTTGGTTCCAAAGCTTATAAATAAGTTGGGGAGGGCTCAGCCCCTTGGCTACCCCTGGATCCCTGAGCAGAACTTGAGGGGTCACTGTGCAACCTGGAGATGCCTGGGCACATGGCCACTTGGGCCTGGTGGAATGCCAGGGCAGAAGCCCCCTCCTCAGCTTGGACGGCAGCAGAGCCAGGAGGGGCCCTAGGGACAACCCTCCCCTCTGGCTGCACCTCAGGGCCCACACTCACCTGGGCAGCTCGGGGAGCCACGCCCCGTGTGCATCCCGGAAGCGGGCCCCGGCCTGCAGGGCCCACCGGTAGTGCTGGGCAAGCAGGGCCCGCCGGGTGGTGCAGGGGCTATCCCTGTCGGCCGGGTCGGCGTTCTTCAGCGGGGAAAACTCCTCTTCCCGTAGCACTTCAAAGGCAACGAAGTTCCTGGCAGTGAAAAGGGCTGGTCACCCCGTGTCCCAGCCCAGAGGCCCTGATCTGGGCAGGTGAGGGCTGGGTGGGTTTATGGTGACTACGTGAAGGTCTGTTCCCATGAGCAGCAGGCCTAGGGAGGAGCCACACAGGTGCCGAGTGGGTCCTTGTGCCTGAGATAGCGGGGATGGCCCAAGTCCACTCTCCCATTCCCAGCAGCCAAATGCCCAGACCCTGGGGCCCCAGAATGAGAACCACGTGCCCAGGAGCCGCCCCTGTAACTTAGCCTGGAAACACCCCCTCACCCTGGGTGAGGGGCAATGGAGGGCCCAGGTGGGACCACTGTCCCCCTCCCAAGGACTTCTACTGCCCCTGGTATTCCTTGTGCTCCCACCCCTGGGGCCGCTTCCCTCAGGGGCAAGAGCACCCTGGCCTCCTCTCGAGACCTGTCTGCCATGCCCAGGGCTCCTCTCTGAGCCTCCACTGCCCTGCATGCCTGGCAGACCCTCTCGTAGCCACCGTAAACCCACCCAGCCCTCACCTGCCCAGATCAGGGCCTCTGGGCTGGGACACAGGGTGACCAGCCCTTTTCCCTGCCCTCGGAACCCACCACCAACACGGAGGGAGGAGAGGAAGAAGTGAATGGCGTCCGCCACTAACTTAGCAAACTGGAACACATCGAACACAAACTTCTCCATCTTTATCCCGTTCGGTTTTAGCGGCTTTACCAGATTTCCCTCCTCATCCACGTGTGGGACCTTCTTCACAGCCACGTGTGGCTTCAGCAAGGGCTCACACTCCCTGGGGGCAGCAAGGCACAGGGGAGGAAAGGTACAGTTCAGACAGCACATGTCTGGGAGCCTTGTCCCCGTCTCTGGGCACACCTGGCTGGGGGGACAGGCCGGCAGACGGACACACAGGGAACAGAAGCAGCGGAAGCCGAGCGGGACCTCCGGGGAGGGCACAGGTCTCTCCCTGCACCCCAGGCACCATCAGCCACGTCCTGCCCAGGCGGACAGAAGCTGGTAAGCCGTGGGGCAATGAGGCAGTTGCACGGGAGGAGAAGGGAGACTTGACCACAGAGCCTCACAGCAGCCGCGGGGAGAGCACCGCTCATGCCGGATCTCCTGCGCCTCTGTTTGTTTAAATGCAAGAACCATTCGGGGTCCCAACCCGGCAGCTGCTCCTGACCATGGCCCGGACAGCTCAAGCCAGGCTCCCGTTGCTGTGGTGGCCCAGGGCCCTCAGCCCAGTCTGGCCTCGCCGGTCCGGTCGCTGGCTGGCATAGGCCACCTGCTGCCGCACACCTGGTGACCATCTGGAGGAAGCCTCGGGTGAAGAAGTGGTTGCAGATGTTGCCTGCGCCGTAGAGCAGGCCCCCGTCGGAGGCTCGCAGCCGCGCGGTCTCGGGGCTGATCTCGCTGTACTCCACCACCTGGGGGACGCCGTCCACCTGGCACACCACGCCCACAGGTTCCTCAGGGTATGCCTTTTCCACCACCTGCAGCAGCGACCAGGGATGGGCTCAGGGAGCTGGGCGTGGCCAGGCTGGGTGGAGGGGCGGGGCCAAGGCCGGCGGGGGCGGGACCAGGTTGGGTGGAGGGGCGGGCGCAAGACCGGCGGGGGCGGGACCAGGCTGGGTGGAGGGGCGTGGCCAAGGCCGCGGGGCGTGGCCAGGCTGGGTGGAGGGGCGGGGCCAAGGCCCGCGGGGCTGCGCGCCCACCTTGGCGCCACAGTCCGCCCCGCGCAGCACGCAGAAGCCTATGAAGGCGGGGTCCGCCAGCCGCACCAGTATGTTGTCCACGCAGTACACGTGCACGAACTCCACACCCCGGCGCTCCATGTCCTCCAGGATGTGGTGGTCAGCCAGCGCACAGTACAGGCCGCCGTTGCCGTCTACGGGGAAAAGAATAGGCCCTGCCGAGGGCTCCACCCAGGCCTCCCCAGCTGGTCCAAGCCATGGTGGAGGCGGGCTCTGGGTCACTATCCTAATGGCCCTGCGGGTGTACCACCCTACACATGGGAACCAGGGCCCAGGGAGAGGCAGCAACTGGCCTAGGACCACATAGCCTCCTGGCAGCCTGGAACCCAGACATCTGGACCCCCAGCTGCACTCCAGTTGTAGGCCGGGCTGCCCCTCCCCTCGCGGGGGTGGGCCATACCTGGGGCCATGGCAACTTTGTCTTTCCGCTCCAGGATGGCCTTGCCGTCAAAGGTCACGGCAGGCAGCATTCGCTGCTCAAACATGACCACGTTGGCAGGGTCCAGGTGGAAGAAGTCGTGCTCCTTGAAGAACTCAGCAGTGGGCCCCAGCGTAAACTCACTGGTCATGATGTACCTGCAGAGGAGGCACGGTGAGCGGCCTCCAGGCAGATGGGCTGAGGCTGGGGATGGGGCCGGGGTCGGGCCTCAGGCTGGAAGGTCCAGGGCTGTGCTGGGTTTGGGGCTCAGGTCCTGGTGGGAGATAGGCCTGGGGCTATGGGGGGGGGGTCCCTCTGGGGCCGAGGACGCACCAGGGCACGGTGCAGCGGGTCCCGCGGCGCTCACCGGCCAGCTGCTCCACCCGCCTAATCCGTTCCGCCTGCAGCTGGTACAGCGTCTTTCCGCTGGGCAGCCCCACGCGGTACATGCCCTTGGGGTAGGCCACACCCAGGCGAGTACCTTGCCCGCCGGCCAGCAGCAGGACGGCCACCTTATTCAGGGCAATCTGGCGGAAACCTGGAGGTGAGGGGCGCCGTGAGGGGACGCCTGGGACCTGCCATACCGCCACCCTTTCACTTTGGGACCAGCCAGACCTGGGCCTGGGCTCTCAGACTTGCACGCACGAGGCGGGAGAAGACTTCTCGAAGTGGCCAGGCAAACTAGCTCCTCCGAGCGCCAACTCTTCCCCACCCCACTCTGTGGACACAGCCCCCTTCCGGCGGGAGAGGGGCCCGGGCGCCCGGCTCCCCGCCGCGCCTACCTTCCTCCTCCCAGCGCCGCCGCGTCTCGGGGTCGCTGCGGCTCACGCTGCCCAAGCGCTCGGGGGGCAGAGGCTGCAGGCGCGCGGCCAGGTCCGGGGGCGGCCCCGGGGGGAGCGCGCAGGCCGCCGCCGCTCGCCGGCAGTGCTCGCGCAGCGCTTCGGGCTCCAGCGGCGCCAGCTCGGCCAGCAGCGCGGCGCGCGGCCCGGGCGCCAGCTCTGCCCAGAAGCGCAGGAGGTGCTCCTGGCCGGCGCGCTGCAGTCCGGCGCGCACTTCCCGCTCCGAGGCCATGCCACCGCTACCCTCGCGGGCCGCCGAGCTGGCACTCGTGACCCGCGAGTTCCGACTAGTGTCACGGGACCGGCGGGCGGTGCTGACCCCAGAGAGGCGGGCCCAGGACACTCCGCCTCGACGGCGCCCGGGGCCCTGCCCAACCCTTGCTCGGGGACCCCGACTCCGCCCCTGTGCTCTGCCGCCCCTCCCCATCCCGGCCTCCCAGCCGGCTGGGTCCTGTCCCGGGGCTGGGCCCCGCCCCCGCCCCCTCTCTCGGCCTGTGCCCGCCCCTCTGCGTCTGCCGAGCCCACTCTGAGCCTCTGCCAGTGGCCGGGTCCCTCTGGCTCGCGTCCTCGTCCCTGCCCTGCTCTGGGCCCACTCTCCACCCCAGGCTCGAAAGCCCTGTCCAGTCCCCGAGCCCAGCCCTGGCCGGGTCCCATCCCCACCCCACCCCCGAGTCCGCCCCCGCCCTGGGTCCAGTCGGTGTCCCGCGCCAAGGGATCTTGGGAACCTCTGAGGTGGCGACCGACGGAGAGGACAGGGGAGCCGGACCGTTGCGCTAGGGGAGGAAAGGCCACCGATGGGGTTCCCCCACAGGGGTTCTCCGATCCACCTGGTCGACTTCAGTCCTAATCCACCCTCCTGCCTGCCCGCAGCCCTGGGCAGCTGGGGTGTCCAAGGGGAGGCCAGGTTCTGTCCCTGCAGATGAGTTTGCGCTTGCCCAGGGCTCAGTGAAGAGGCCAGACCAGCGCTGTGGGTGTGGGGAGGGCCGAGACTGGAGCCTGGTGCCTGAGCAGGGACGGCGCACCTGTGGGGCTCCCCTTTCCACACCCCCACCCTCCCATCACCCCTCACCTACATTTTCATTTTAAGTATCAGGTTTTAAAACATCTTGCTTGTGAAAAATCTGAAGGTATAGCTTCTGCCGTTTTGAGACAAAACTTTCTTTTAGAAACCAATTTTATTGTCTAAAAGTAATACTTGCACATGGTTTTTATTTTATTTATTCACTTTTTTTTCTTTTTTTTTTTTTTTTTGAGACAGAGTCTCATTCAGTTGCCCTGGCTAGAGTGCTGTAGCATCAGCCTAGCTCACAGCAACCTCAGACTCCTGGGCTCAAGCTATCCTCCTGCCTCAGCCTCCCGAGTAGCTGGGACTACAGGCATGCGCCACCATGCCCGGCTAATTTTTTTTTCTATATATATTTTAGCTGTCCAAGTAATTTCTTTGTATTTTTAGTAGGGATGGAGTCTTGCTCTTGCTCAGGCTGCTCTCAAACTCCTGAACTCAAATGATCCACCCGCCTCAGCCTCCCAGAGTGGTAGGATTACAGGCGTGAACCACTGCACCTGGCCTAGCACATGGTTTTTAAAAATGCTCTAGGACCCAGAAATGAAAATTAACATCTCCCTAAGGTCTGCGCTGGGGCTAACTGCTGTCAAGACAGGTTCTGCAGACAGACCACCCCACAACCTTACTGAGACAGGAAGGGGAGCCTCGGCAAGGCCCACCATGAATTCTCCTGGACCCAAAAGTTGTTTCTCCAAGAACGGCCTTAAGCCCGCCGCAGGGCCTTTGCACTTGCTGTTCCTCCTGCCTTGCAATGCTCTCCCCAGAAAGATGCATGACTCACTACCCCACGGTGTCAGGTCCCAGGCCACGGTGAGCTCAGAGGCACCTGACCATCCCCACGCCCGCCCTGCCTTTCTGAGTCCTGCTGCCCCATGAGACGTGAACTCCAGGAAGGCAGGATGCTGTTTGCTACACGGCTCTGCCCCCCCACCTTCGACCAATGCCCGGCACACAGTCGCCCCTCGGTGAATGTCTGTGGGCTGAACAAAGGAGAGTGCTGGATAAAAAGCCTAGCGGTGTGACTGGGTCTCGCCACAAATGTCCAAGGGGAGGCCGGGCGCGGTGGCTCACGCCTGTAATCCTAGCTCTCTGGGAGGCCGAGGCGGGCGGATTGCTCGAGGTCAGGAGTTCAAAACCAGCCTGAGCAAGAAGGAGACCCTGTCTCTACTATAAATAGAAAGAAATTAATTGGCCAACTAATATATATAGAAAAAATTAGCCAGGCGTGGTGACGCATGCCTGTAGTCCCAGCTACTCAGGGGGCTGAGGCAGGAGGATCGCTTGAGCCCAGGAGTTTGAGGTTGCTGTGAGCTAGGCTGACGCCACGGCACTCACTCTAGCCTGGCCAACAAAGCGAGACTCTGTCTCCAAAAAGGAAAAAAAAAATGTCCCAGGGGTGTGTGCTGAATGAGTGAATAAATGAATGGATTCTGCTGCAACAGTCTGTGGTCCTTGAAGGGCAGTTTGGGCAATGGCTGGGGGTGGAGAGTAGGGACAGGACGTGGAGATTCGGGCGAGCACAGCAGGCGCACGCCCCGGCCAGAGTCCACTGTAATACGTAGCATGCTGCAGGGCCGGGCAGCAGAGATGGCACATGTACCTTCAAGGCAGGTGTCGGGACATGAACTCTGGGCCCTCTAGGTCAGGGTGACCCCACATCTCACCTCAAGGTGTGGGTTGGGCTATGATCAGAGGGTTTGCACAATCAATCTTTGTGTGGCCAGAGGCACTTGCGGGGCCAGGAGAGAAGCAAACCTACCTGGGCAGAGACAGGAGTGCAGACAGGTGGGAGTTGCCGGCAAGGCTGAGCTGGGCAAAAACCCCCTGAACCCCTTGCCAGAGGCAGGATTGTGGCCAAAGAGTCACTATCTCTTTGCCTTAGGCCCTTGTCAAGGGGTGCAGGTGAGCAGATCCAGAGGCCAACGGTGAGGACCAGAGCTCTGGGAAAGAAAGGCTCAGGGGCCAGGCAGCAGTGCCGGTCCCTCACTGCGTGCCCAGTGCTGGGGGTACGTGGGGGGAAAGAGTCTTCCAGCCACCCTGCCCAGGAGCTCCAGGCTGGCACTGCCAGCACATATTTACAACTGGGATGGTGCCTCAGAAAGTACAGAGGCTGCATGGCTCCAGAGATCTGCTCCAGGCTCCAGAAGCTCCCCCAGGAGCAGAGTAGCTTGCCGACAGCTACCAGGTTGAGAAAGACTCAGGCCAGGCTGGAACGCAGAGTGGAAGGAGTATGTGGTCAGATCTCAGCACAGGAAAGACACATGGCCCCCACCAAAATTCCTTACTATGAATGAGCCCAACTTCAGGTGAATGACCCCAGAGGAAAAGTGGACCCAGGACACCCCCTGGCCAGGGAAGCTGCCCCTATAGCTTGAGACACAGACACCAGTGCCTCAGGTCTAAGGACACAGAGGCCCAGGTAGGCAGGTCAGCTGAGGTCTGCCCAAGAAGGGTTCAAGGGAGGCCAGCCAGGGGACCAAGGCAGGCCCCTGTGTCATTGGCCAGGTGCCCATGGCATTAGTGAGTCTGGGAAGATGGCAGGGTGAGGGGCCAGAGCAGGACCTGGAAGAAAGGCAAAGGTGGAGGTGGGCTCCAGGTATCCTGGGCACCACCCTCGCTTCTAGAGGTCAGCCCTGGGAAGGGCTCCCAGAGGAAGAACACAGGGTCCCCCCATCTGGACCAACCAGATGGAGACAGAATGACCCGGTCCCAGTTGGAAACACAGCAGAGCCCCTGGGGCAGAGGTATGGGTATGAAGGGCAGGGCTGTAGGAGCCAGGAGAGCAGCTGGAAGTGTCCAGCCAGGGGAAGGGGCTGGGGCAGAGGACGGCCAGAGCCAAGGGGAGCTGGTCACCAGGTGGGGATCTGGGACACAGGAGAAAGTGGCTTTGTCTTGCAGCGGGCAGGACAGGACAGGCTGTCCCCAGGGCCCAGAGGAGGAGCTCTCGCAGCGGTGGGGACAGAGAGGCCTCTGTGCAGGGAGGCGTCCAGCTGGCTGGAGACTATGGCCCTCCTGTGGCTCCTGGCGGAAGAGGAGGCCCCAGCGTCGGCCCGTGGGTGGCTGTGGCCTGCAGACGCTCGGCGAAGAGAACCCAGGGAGCTAAAGGGGGAGGGTGGGATCCCTGAAGGCCCCCCCCATCCTTACCCCACGGTTACCTGGGGACAGATTTTGTATAGGGTGTTGGCGGGCGCAGCCGGAGCGGAGAGCGCGCCGAGCCGGGGCGGGAGGGCTGGTGGGGGCAGGCGGCGAGGCCGAAGGAGAGGTCGGCGAGATCTGGGCCGGGCCGGAGCAGGGGGAGCCCGGGGAGCCGGTCCCCGCCCGCCCAGCGCGTCCGCGCACCTGGCGGTCCTTCCCCAGCGCTGCGCCGGCCGGGGCAAGAAAAATCAAACCCCGGCTGGCGGCCTCTCAGCCAATCGGGGAGCGGCCGGGCCTCGCTTGGCCAATGGGCGCCGCAAATGCTAATGAGCGCCGCCGCCGCGGGCTGGCCCCATTCAAAAGTCGCGGCCATTGTCGCGGCGGGCAGCGCGCCGGCCGGCCCGGTGGGGCCGCGCGGGGCGGACGCGGGGCGGGCACGGGCGGGCGCGGGGCTCGGGGAATCGACGCGGGGCGGACGCGGGGCGCGGGGCAGACGCGAGCGGACGCGGGGACGGACCCCGGCGCCATGGCCGGGGCCGCGATGGCCGAGCGGGGCCGCGCGCCCCCCGCGCCCGGCACGGAGGGGCTGCCGCGCGCCTTCCTGCAGAGCCTGCGCACCCTCTTCGACATCCTGGACGACCGGCGGCGCGGCTGCGTGCACCTGCGCGAGATCGAGTCCCGCTGGCAGGGCGCCGACGCGCGCGAGCTGCCCCGCGGCGTGCTCGAGGGGCTGCGCCGGGCGGCCCCGGCCAGCGGCTACCTGACCTTCGAGCGCTTCGTGGCCGGCCTGCGCACCTCGCTGCCCAGCGCCGAGGCGGGCGCGGCCCCGCGGCTCCGGCCCGGCCGGGGACCGCCGCGCGCCGCGCCGCCGCCGCAGCGCCTGGTGTTCGCGCCGGCAGACGAGCCGCGGACTGTGCTGGAGAGGAAGGCCCTGCCCCTGGGCGCGCGCCCCCCGCCGACCGGCCCCGGCGGCGGCGCGGCCCGGAGCCCGGAGAAGCTGTGCAGCCCGGCCGAGGCGGAGCCCGAGCGGCCGCAGAGCTTGGCACTGGAGCGGAGCCCGAGCGCGGACGCTGGTGAGTTCGGGGCAGCCCCCGGCCCCGCCTCGTATTCCCCTCCCCACCTCTCCAGCCTGTGTCCCTCCCACGAGGGCTGGGGATAGTGGACACCCCAGCCTGGAGCGCGCCTCCGCCGTCCTGAAGCAAAAGGGGCTTCGTGCCTGTCTGGTGTGCTTAGGGGCCCAAGCGCCTAGGCCAGCCCATTCCCCGCCACCTCATGAGGCCTCCAGGGCCACAGGCTGCTGGGCGACTTGGAGAACCTGCTGGGAACCCAGTGGGTACCAAGCCTGAGCTTGGGCTCTCCACCTCCAGTGCCTGCCCCCTGCCAGGGGGTGCCTGGGCCCTCAGCCTCCTGTCTGTGGGTGCTTAGGCAGAGGTGCTTCCCTCCAGAAGAGTGGGTCCCCCAGACTGAGGCCCAGTGGGCCCAGGGTCCTTCCCAGTATGACAGCTCTGCCCAGAGGGCTGAGCCCACTGCTGGCCACCAAGGCCAGGGCAGGCAGGACCTGCTGCAGGTGGCCCAGGAGGACCTGGCCCTGTTGCTGGGAAGACCAAAGGGGCGTGTGGGGCTCCTGCACAGCCCGGCGGGCTGATCCGTGGCGGGTGCCACAGAGGGACACAGACCTCAGTCTCTGGAGAAGCAAGCCTGGCAGGCTGCTCTCCTGGCTTCCGGTCCAGTTGGCAGCAGCAGGAGGCTGCTGAATGGCCCCCTGTCTGCCCCTCCCAGCACCTGCCTTGAGAACAGGACCTGCATTATGGCAGGGGCGGGGGCAGGCTCCCCGAGGAGCCCAGGGCTCCCCCAGGCCCCAGCCCATTCAGCCCGTGCACGTGTCCGCCAGGTGCAGGCCTGTCTGCCGGTGGCAGCTGCCGGCCTGTTGTGCCGCCCGCAGCTCTGCCAGCCTTGCAGGACCTCTCCCCTGTCTCCACCACAGTCTCCAGCCCTGTCACTGGCGCTTGGAGCTGCAGTGGCCCCCGGCCTCCCTGCTGAGCTGACCCAGCAGCCCCAAGCCAGGCTGGGGGCTCCCCTGTGCCTTGCCACCCAGCCTGCCTGTCCCTGTTGTGCAGGAGACTTCTGGGCGCAGCTGGCTCCAGATGCAGGGTCAGTGTCGTCCATGTGGCTGCGCGGTTCGAAACCAGCTGTGGATTTCGTGCAACGGACAGGCGTGGGGTTTGGAGGCCACAGGCCTGTGGTCGGCCCTCCTCCACCCTGATGCTCCACGTGGCACTGGGGCAGTGACCTCACCCCTCTGAAGGCCACATGGCCAGTGTGCACTGCAAGGCAGCACTCACTGGTCACCGCTCTGGCCTCAGGGCAGGGGTCCAGCTGTCACCCTCTGACAGGGAAACCAAGGCCCAGGCAAGGGGGGTGGCATGCTGACTGACAGCAGGCTTTTGGGGTACCACATCTGGAGCTCCAAGGTGAATCCACCTCCCCAGTAAAGACCCCCAACATACACAGCCTCCTAAGCCCCCAGCCCAGAGGTTCGGGGTCTCCTTCCTTGTCCTCACGTAGGGCTGAGTGTGTGCCCCAGGCTGGCTCAGGGCCCTGGCGGGGGCAGGGCGGCCTCCACCTGCGGATTGACCAGCTGGACACGCTACCTGCATCTTATCAGGGTTGGAAGTTGCCCTACAGACTCGGACCCGGCTCTGAGAGATGCCCAGGAGTCCTGTCTGTACCTCCTGTGCCCGGGCCTCCTGGAGGCAGGAGCATGGCTGTGCGCCTCCTGCCGCCTTGCCCTGGAGCTGCTCTGCTCAGCAGGCTGCGACTGAAACTCCGCTCCTTGCTAGACACACCTGGGCCGAGTCTGGCATCTCCCACCACTCCTGTGGCCTGGGCACCAGGGCCGTGGCCTCCAGGGGTGAGCCTGGTGCTGGGGACAGGCTGAGGGCCCAGGGAGGGTAGCCTCCTCCATACTTGCACCCCACTTCTGTAGATGGGGAGCTGGGTGTGGGGGGAGCTGAGGCAGTCGAGTGGGGACCATACCCCAGCCAGGCCAGTGTGGGGAGCTTGGAGGATGGATTAAGTCGATGGGGCCACTGCCCCTGTCATGGAGTCAGGAGGTCCAGAGGCGAGCCGGGCCTGTGCCTCTCTGCGACAGGTGCAGTGGCCTGCAGTGCCGAGGAGACGGGCTGTGGGGATGCCCGGCGGGCCCCCCGCGCCCGAGGGGAACGGCGGAGGCACACCATCACCAACGGCGTGGACTGTGGCCTGGTGAGTGTGGGCCAGAGGCTGGGGAGGGTGAGCATTGGTTGGTGCCAAACCTCTCCCCACCTGGGCTTGAATCCGCCACAGGGATGGTCCTCCCAGGTCAGGCAGAGAAAGGTCAAGAGGTCCTTTAGGCACGTGCGGTGACAGTGGCGTGGGTCTTGCCCAGCTGCTTCACGAGGTCACCCTTGCAGGCCAGCCCAGCTCACCAGCTGTGCACTCACCACAGGTGAACCCCTAGAGCTCAGGGGTCAGTCGCCCCCTGGGGAAGCCTGAGTAGAGGGGCTGAGAGAGCCGGGACCCGGGAGGAGGAACGGGACTCTGCTCCCAGCCCGCAGGCACGCGGGCTCATGCGTGTGCAGCGTCTCATGAGCGCGCTGCCACGCACCGGTGCATGTGTTTGCAAACCTACACGCATGCCGACGTACCTGTGCCTGTGTGCGCGCCTCAGCTTGCACACCCATGGCTCGTGGTGCACACGTAGGCGCGTGCAGGCGTGCGTGGGTGCGTGCGTGCGTGCTCACAGGCATGTGGCATTCCCGCGTCCGTGCGTGTGTCGCAGCTGAAGCAGCTGAAGGAGCTGGAGCAGGAGAGGGAGGTGCTCCTGCAGGGCCTGGAGATGATGGCGCGCGGCCGGGACTGGTACCAGCAGCAGCTGCAGCGGGTGCAGGAGCGCCAGCGCCGCCTGGGCCAGAGCAGAGCCAGCGCCGTGAGTACTGCCGCCCTGGGGCTCTGGGCTCCCTGTGCCCAGGCAGAGTGGCCACCACCTAAGCCCAGGCAGCCCCTGCAGGTTATGGCTGCCCCCATTCCAGGGCAGGTGGCCGTCCCTTCCCCCAGGGCGCAGGCACAGCCCTCCTCCCGCAGTGGCTGTCCCACTCTGAGGATCAGGCACCCTGGGTAGACCTTCCCCACCAGCAGCAGCTCCTGAGGCCTCGAGGCTCTGAGCAGCGACTTCAGGGGGCAGGAGTGCAACGTGTGGGGGCCCCCATGCTGGCCCCAGCCCTTCTCTCTGACCACCCGTCCGTCCTCTGCTTTCCTCCCAGGACTTTGGAGCTGCAGGGAGCCCTCGCCCGCTGGGGCAGCTGCTGCCCAAGGTACAGGAGGTGGCCCAGTGTCTGGGGGAGCTGCTAGCTGCGGCCTGTGCCGGCCGGGTGAGTGCCCCCCGCCCCCCCAGCGCCCACATTGGAGCCCAGGCCCGGCTCAGCGCCCCCTCGCCCTTGTCCAGGCCTGCCTGACCGTGCCTTCCTGCAGGCTCTCCCCACATCGTCCTTGGGGCTCCCGTGCCCTGCCCTGGCCCCCGCCTCACCCCCGGCCTCCAGCTGGCAGCAGCAGACCATCCTCATGCTGAAGGAGCAGAACCGGCTCCTCACCCAGGTGAGGTGCGGGCAGGGGTCCGGGGGGCGGTGGTCTGAGGCCTGGCAGGCTGGCCTGACTGCCCGTCTGCCCAGGAGGTGACCGACAAGAGCGAACGCATCACCCAGCTGGAGCAGGAGAAGTCTGCCCTCATCAAGCAGCTGTTCGAGGCCCGTGCCCTGAGCCAGCAGGGCGCTGGGCCTCTGGACTCCACCTTCATCTAGTGGCGAGAGCAGACCCAGGCCCCTCTGGGCCCGGCGTGGCCCTGAGCCCAGCGGGCACCCCTTTGGCTCTAGCCTCTCTGGCTGAAGACCACCCTGCCAGCCTGGACACAGCTCTTGAACGGGTGCCCTGCCTCCCTCCGCCCTTGCCATCTGGGCTACCCAAGGGCTGTCCCAGGCAGATCCCCAGACTGGCCAGTGTGCCCAGAATGACTTGGATCTGGCCTCGGGTGCTGAGCTGTGTTGTTGGTGCTCTGTTGTGCTGGCACAGCCTGATGCTGCTACGACCACTGTCAGTGGACAGTGGGGGACCCTCCTGGTGTTTGCCAGATCTCAGGCAGCCCTGGGCAGGGAGGAGCTGTGGTAGCCCTGCACCCACGTGTGCAGCCATCCTGTCCTGTGCTGCAGAGCGGGGCCTGGTCTCTAGTAAAAGGTACCGGCCACACCAGGCTGCACTTCCCAGGGCGGCCAGCAGAGGGCGTCGGGCAAACACAGTCCACCTGCCCCAGGGGATGCCCCAGGCATGGGGTGGTTGGGGCCACAGGTCCTGGGGATGTTCTAGGGGACCTGGGGTACCCAGGCAGTCAAGGGGCCCAAGGGCAGCTTGACAGGGTGGCTGTTGCTCAGATGGAGCAGATGGGCCGGGGCACTGCCTCTCCTAGGGGGCTCTGTATGTGCCCGCTGGGTGGGGGAGCCACAGAACTAGAGGCTGGGGACGGAGCACAGCGTCTGCCCCAGGGTGATGTCCGCCGGCCCTGCCCAGGAAGGGGGAACAGAGAGCAACCCAGTGCCTCGCCTGGCTGTGGTGTCCCACGCAGGGTGAAAACAGCAGATCCTCCAAGTTTGCAGCCTGAAATCAGACCACCCGTGTGGCCCAGGAGACCTCAAGGGGGGAATTTAAAGTGGTCCCAGACCGACTGGGCCCAGGCCACCTGCAGGAGCCAATGCAGGTCCTCTCTGGAGCCCAGCCCTGGTGACCGTGGGGGGCAGGAAGGTCTCCCTGGAGGAGGCTGTTGGCCATTGTGGCATGTGGGCCGCATCCCTGGCCTCTGTCCACTAGATGGCAGTAGGGCGCGCCCAAGAGCACACACACAAACACACTCCGTCGTCCTGACCGCAGGAAATGTCACAGGGTGTTGCCATGTGTCCCTAAGGGGGTGAAAATCACCCCTGGTGGAGACTCTGCTCTGAAGCAACAGTTTCACCAGGCCTGAGCGTTTCCCGCTGATACATGAGTTCCAAAGACAATGAGCATCAGTAAAAAAAAACTTGCAAACACAAGGAAATGAAATACCATGAGAGCCAGTGGGAACAGCAGATAGAATCTGTAGTCACTCAGACACCGGAATTATCAGAGAGAATATAAACAATGTTTTCTGTATCTAAAGAAATAAAAGATTCTTGGAAATATGAACAAGGGATAGTCTTTATAGTCTCCTTCCTTACAAAGCATAATCTTTGACGCCATAAAGAGGGCCGACCATGTATGAAAAAGAATCAACTAGAACTTGTAGACATATAAATTGCCCGTCTAATTGAAATGAAAAACTCAATTAAATTGGTTAAGTGTTGATAAAAATTTTCAGCACAACTGAAAAGTTCAGAAAATTACCCAGAGAGAGGAAATATGGAAGAGGTTGGGAGGCCGAGGCGGGCGGATTGCTTGAGCTCAGGAGTTTGAGACCAGCCTGAGCAAGAGCGAGACCCCCGTCTCTACTATAAATAGAAAGAGATTAGCCAAACAACTAAAAATAGAAAAATTTAGCTGGGCACTAAAATAGAAAAATTTAGTGTGCCTATAGTCCTAGATACCCGGGAGGCTGAGGCAGGAGGATAGCTTGAGCCTAGGAGTTTGAGGTTGCTGTGAGCTAGGCTGACGCCATGGCACTATAGCCCAGGGCAAGAGAGTGAGACTGTGTCTCAAAAAAACAAATATGGAAGAGGTGAGGGCTCCTGGGTGGCAGGTAGTTCCTTGTCTGGTTGGGTTTTCTGGAGGACGGGAGAGGGAAAGAGGAGCCCTGTAAGGCAATAAACTGGCTTAGAATTCTCCAGAATCAGCAGGAATCCCAACAAATCCTAGTTAGGATGAATTTTTAAAAATGTAGATTTTGTCTTATGAGATCATAAAAGAATCTAGAGACATATATTTTACATTTCTTTTTTCTTTATTTATTTATTATTTGAGACAAGTCTCGCTTTGTTGCGCAGGTAGAGTTGGGAGTCGACGTCGACTCTGGGCTCAAGCAATCTGCTGCCTCAGCTCGCGAGTAGCTGTACTACAGGCATGCGCCACCATGCCTGGCTAATTTTTTCTATATATATTAGTTAGTCAATTAGTTTCTTTCTATTTATAGTAGAGACGGGGTCTCGCTCTTGCTCAGGCTAGTTTCGAACTCCTGACCTCAAGCAATCGCCGCCTCGGCTCCCAGAGTGTTAGGAATACCAGGCGTGAGCCACTGCGCCCGCCTGGAACATATTTTAAAACCGACACGCGAATTAAACATGTAGGAAAATCTAAGCAAATATTATATCTGATGATAATAGTACCTACTTTGTGGGGGGAAACAAGATAGGACTAAAATGATGTCCATGTAGCCGGGCATGGTGGCGCGTGCCTGTAGTCCCAGCTATGCGGGAGGCTGAGGTGGGAGGATCGGGGCTTGAGCCCAGGAGTTGGAGGCTGCAGTGAGCTGTGATGAAGCCACTGGGCTCTAGCCCGGGCGACAGAGCGAGACTCTGTCTCTAAAACAAATGAACAAACAAATACATAAATAAATAAGATAAGGTCCATATGGCATATACGAAAGGAGAAGTAATGGGTGAGAGCATTCTGAGGCACTTTAATGTTCATAAGGAGGAAAGGTATTGATTAACTTTAGATTTTTATTAATATGTACGTTACAAGAACTAGAGAACTGGGTAGGATAATAGCCTGTACCGTTAGTACCTTCCTAAAAAGGGGGTGGTGAGGCTGGAGGTGGTGGCTCAGGCCTGTAATCCAAGCACTCTGGGAGGCCGAGGAGGGGATTGCTTGAGGTCAGGAGTTTCAAAAACACCTGAACAAGAGCGAGACCTTGTCTCTACTATAATAAAAGAAATTAAATTGGCCCAACTAATATAATTATAGAAAAAATTAGCTGGGCATGGTGGTGCATGCTTATAGTCCCAGTTTCTCGGGCGGCTGAGGCAGTGGGTTGCTGAGACCAGGAGTCTGAGGTTGCTGTGAGCTAGGCTTGACACCACGGCACTCACTCTAGCCTTGGCAACAAAGCGAGACTCTCTCTCAAAAAATAAAATAAAATAGGCCGGCGCTGTGGCTCGACGCCTGTAATCCTAGCTCTTGGGAGGCCCGAGGCGGGCGGATTTGCTCAAGGTCAGGATTCAAAACCAGCCTGAGCAAGAGCGAGACCCGTCTACTATAAATACGAAAGAAATTAATTGGCCAACTGATATATATATAAAAAATTAGCCGGGCATGGTGGCGCATGCCTGTAGTTCCCAGCTACTCGGGAGGCTGAAGGCAGAGGATCGCTTGAGCCCAGGAGTTTGAGGTTGCTGTGAGCTGGCTGACGCCACGGCATTCACTCTAGCCTGGACAACAAAGTGAGACTCTGTCTCAAAAAAATAAAAATAAATAAATAATAATAAAATAAAATAATAAAAAGGGAGGTGGATGGGATGAGAAAATAAAAAGAATTCAACCTGAAGAAAGAAAAAACAAAAACTTCCAGAAGACACAGAATAAGATGTAGAAATACATTAGTAATCATTCAACATAAATGAGTTAAACTTACTAGTTAAAAGAACAGAGTTATCGGGTTGTGATTTTTAGGATTCAGTTAAGATATTTAAGACACACTAAAATATAAAAACACACACACACACACACAAAACACAACAGAAAAAGTTTGAGTAGTTTTATAAATATCAAACAAAACAGATTTCAAAGGCAAGAGATTACCTAATCATAAAGAGGTAGCACTCTGGGAGGCCGAGGCAGGCAGTATAGCTCGAGGTCAGGAGTTCGAACGCCTGAGCAAGAGCAAGACCGTCTCTACTATAAATGGAAAGAAATTATTGGCCAACTAATATTATAGAAAATTAGCCGGGCATGGTGCGCATGCCTGTAGTCCCAGCTACTCGGAGGGCTGAGGCAGAGGATCTCTTGAGCCCAGGAGTCTGAGGTTGCTGTGAGCTAGGCTGAACGGCACTCACTCTAGCCTGGGCAACAAAGTGGAACTCTGTCTCAAAAAAAAAGAGGGAGGGTCACTGCCTGATAATAGAAAGCTCAATTCCCAGGAAGGTACAACAATCTCAACTTATAATCACCCAGTAATATAACCTCGAATATGTATTTCACAAAAGATAGGCAAATATTCACCAGAACATGAATATGATGGCAGATAAGCACATGCAAAGATGTTCACGTCATTCAGCCATGAGAAAATGCAAATTAAGACTACAGTGAGACCAGGCACGGTGGCTACGGCTGCCATCCTAGCACTCTGGGAGGCCGAGGCGGGTGGGTTGCTCGAGGTCAGGAGTTTGAAACCAGCCTGAGCAAGAGTGAGACCCTGTCTCTACTAAAAACAGAAATAAATTAATTGGCCAACTAAAAACATATAGAAAAAAATTAGCCCAGGCAATGGTGGTGCATGCCTGTAGTCCAGCTACTCGGGAGGCAGAGGCAGGAGATCACTTGAGCCCAGGAGTTTGAGGTTGCTGTGAGCTTAGGCTGATGCTAACGGCACTCTAGCCTGGGCAACCAGAGTGAGACTCTTTCAAAAAGAGGAGAGAAGAGAGAGAGCAGTGTGAAGTCCCCCAAAGAGGAAGGAATTGGTCTCCAAACAGCCTTTGCAGTTGGGACGGCAACATCAATCTTGCCGGGTCTCCAACCTGCCAGCTGGCTCTGCAGATTTCAGACACCTCAGCCCCCGCAGTTTGTGCAAGCCAATTCTTTAAATTACCATCTGCCCCCCCCGGCCCCTAGGTTCTATTTCTCCGAGAACTCTGCCTAATCCACATAGAATGGCAATCTTGGCATTTTGTCCCAGAGACGTGAACTTATTTTCGTGCAGGAACATGTCCATGAGTGTTCATAGAAGCTTGGTTTAGTTCCTGTAGCCTAAAACTGTGAACTACCCCCAAAACGTTTTTCTGCAGGTAAGTGGTTAAAGCAGACCCAGCACGTCCGACCACACGGGACACTATTTAGCCCCAAAAAGAGAGCCAGGCAGTGACTCGAGCAGCCACTCGGAGGAACCTCAGGGAGTGACCCTGAGTGATAAAATCCGTTCGAGAGGCTTGCATTCACGGGTCTGGCTTACACACGGCCGAGAGACAGGCACCGTGTAGGGTGGAGGCAGCTCGGTGGCTGCCGGGGCGAGGGTGGGAAGAGAGAACAGCCATGCTGCAAGGGGGCCGCGGTGGCAGGGGGGCTGAGCGTCTTGGTTGTGGTGGCCACGCAGGCTACACAGGGGATGGAGCCACATGGCCAACACGGCCACACACACGTGAATAAAATGGTTCTGCGGGCCGGGCGCGGTGGCCTCAGGCCTGTATCCTAGCACTCTGGGAGGCGAGCAGGCGATTGGTTGAGGTCAGGAGTTCGAAACAGCCTGAGCAAGATGAGACCCCGTCCTTACTATAAATAGAAAGAAATTAATTGGCCAACTAATGTATCATAGACAAAAATTAGCCGGGCATGGTGGCGATGCCCTGTAAGTCCCAGCTACTCGGAAGGCTGAGGCAGGAGGGATTGCTTGAGCCCCAGGAGTTGGGAAGTTGCTGTGAGCTAGCTGATGCCACAGCTCTAGCCTGGGCCAATCAGATCGAAGACTCCGTCTCAAAAAAAAAAAAATTAAAAAAATTAAAAGAGGAGATAAAACATAAGTATTTTAAAAAACAAATATATATATTTATACCAAGATTACTCAGCACTATAAGGAAAAATTGACAAATCCACCATGACAATGGGAAATTTTAATATAGCTATCTTAATAATTGATAGGGTACCATATCTGAACATTATTATTTTTTTTTTTTTGAGTCAGAGTCTCACTCTGTTGCCCAGGCTAGAGTGCTGTGGCGTCAGCCTAGCTCACAGCAACCTCAAATCCTTGGGGCTCAAGGATCCTCCTGCCTCAGCCTCCCCGAGTAGCTGGGACTACAGGTATGCCCACCATGCCCGGCTAATGTTTTTCTATATATTTTTATTTGGCCAATTAATTTCTTTCTATTTTTAGTAGAAGACGGGTCCTCGCTCTTTGCCTCAGGCTGGTTTCGAACTTCGATTGGAGCGATCCTCCCGCCTCGCCTCCCCAGAGTCTAGGATTGAGGCCGTGGACCACTGCGCCAGCCCTACGTTTAAATATTTTTTAAATGTACTAATTCCATTACCATAACAAGATTACAAAGGAGACAAAATCACTAGCT